GGAGTCAACCACATCCCCTACCCTGCACCTACCAAGCAAGCACCGGACCCAGAAGACTTGAGGCTGGGGCTGGGCTGGTTCTATTGGAACCAGGTACTCTCTTTCCACAGAGGCTGCTAGGATGGTGGGCTGTAAGCCTGGGGCTGCTGGGGGTCACTTTGCCCCCAGGAGGGGAGAAAATGAAGCCCATCCAGGGCCAACGATAGAGAGGGAAAGACTCCTGAGCTCATCACATGAGGCACTTTTTTTCTGCTTAAGTGAGTTTCTGTCACTTACAACCCTACCCTCATCCGCCCAAATGAAATGGCAGCTCTGTGCAGTGGACAGGACATGGGACTTCTAAGGTTATCCTTATAAATGTGACCCCGGCATACCACCTCCCTTTGGGATTACTGAATTTGCACCTGTGAAATAGGGCTGCTAACAGAACCTCCTCTTCACAAACAGCACAGGCTGTCCTGAGGACCGGCTATAAACTATAAATAACAGCAGTCCATACCACAGCGCACTGACTACCTGCAGGGGCCACTCCAAGTGCTAGGCTCCTATGAACTCACTGAATCGACAAACAACACTGTGAGGGAGGCCCTATCCCCCCCCCCACACACACACACACACTCTAAAGATGAGGAAATGGAGGCAAAGAGAAGTGCACAGATTTGCCCAAAGTCACATGGCCAGGCAGTGGCAGCACATGACAGAGGTTGCTGAGCCTCCCATGTCCCAGAGAGCAGCTTCAGGTCAATAAAGCCGATTCCAATCCAAGCACTAGCTGTGCGACCTGGGACAAGTCACAACCTCTCTGAGCCCAGGTCCTTGCTCACAACAGAGGGGACAATCTCTGTTGTGAAGGACTGTTAAGAGGATTAAAAGGAACAAAGAATATGCCCTAGCCAGTGTGGCTCAGTTGGTTGGAGAATCGTCCTGTTCACCAAAAGGTGGCGAGTTTGATTCCCAGTCAGAGCACATGCCCAGGTTTTGAGTTCAGTCCCTCACTGGGGCACATGTGGGAGGCAAACAATCGATGTTTCTCTCTCTCCCGCTCTCTCTCTTTCTATCCCTTCCTCTCTAAAAAAAATCAATAAAATCAGCCCTAGCTGGTATGGCTCAGTAGAGAGAGTGTTGGCCTGCAGAATGAAGGGTTCCAGGTTTGATTCCAGTCAAGGGCACATGCCTGGGTTGCGGGCTCAATCTCTAGTGTGGGGCATACAGGAGGCAGCCTATCAATAATTCTCTCTCATCACTGATGTTTCTATCTCTCTTTCCTTCTCCCTCCCTCTCTGAAATCAATTAAAAAAATTTTTAAAAATCAATAAAATCTTAATTATAAGAAAAAAAAAAAAAAGAAACTAGCTGGCAAAGTGCTCAACGGGTGCTCCAAGAATGGCAGCCTCCAACAGCTCCAGTGTGCTGAATGCTTTACCTCTGGGGATCCAGTAGGATTAGCAGGATCAGCCCTGTGGGGCAGGGACCACATTCAACCCATATGGCAGAGGAGGAAACTGAAGCTCTGGGAAGGGAAGTGTCATATCCCAGACTCTCTTCACCTTTCACAGACAGTGTGAGCAGCAGAGCAGAAAGTAAAAGGCAGGTCCCTGCTCCCCAAGATGTCTTCTCAGCACCACCCATTTCCTCCTACCACGCAAACCCCAAACCCTTCCTCTTTCTGCCTCAAAGGGAACCTCACCCTCTCTGCTCAAGACCCAGGGGAACCTACCTGGCCTCAGCCCCCAGAACCTCCCATTCAGATCTGGCTCCCTCCATCCTAAGGACCAGAAAAGACCTCTGGGCTCACATCCTTGACTCCTATAAATGTCTGACCATGCCCTCCATCAGTGTGGGCTGGGGAACAAGGGGACTGGGAGAAGCAGCACCTGTCCAAGGCCACACAGGGCTGGCTCAGTGGCAGAGGCACAGAGCCAGGTGGCGGAGTCCGACAGACCTTGAGGTGAGTCCCGGCTCTGCCACTCTCTAGCTGTGGGGCCTTGGGCATGTGACCTCACCTCTCTGAGCCTCAGTTTTCCCATCTGAAAAACATAAACAAGAAGTCTCTGCTACACAGTGGGGTCATGAGGATTAAATGAGACAGCTTGTGAAATGCTTGACCCAGGGCCCACAACACAGAAGAAACTCAGAAACAGGAACTATGATTTTGACACCCACAGCTAATCCCACAACCACTGCCCATCTCCTTCAATCCCAGCTAAATCTTCCCATCCCTGTTCTCCAGTCACAAGGGAAGTACTTCCAAGCCAAGCCTTACTCACTCACAAAAATGACCTGCCAGCCTCCTCTGACCACAACGGCCCCATTCACCCACCATGTCCTGCCCAGATGAATGCCTCCCAGATCACCTTTCTCCTCAGCACAAATTGCTACTAGACCTGTGGCATAAACTGTCTATTCTCCCATAGCCCACCCCATAACATGAGAGGTGGTGTTTAGAAAGAGGACAGAACCAGAGTGGAGTCATGTGTGTCTCATTCATTCTTTTATTCAACAGCTGTTTACTGAGTACCAGCAACAGGGAAGTGACATGAGCACCCCGCCACAGGAACTGAAAGACATATAACCCCTAGTTAGGGAGCACTTGCCATGGGCCTGACCCTACCCAAGTCTTTTCCCATCTTGGGCCCCCAAGTCCTCACAGCACCTTCATTATCCCCATTTACAGAGGAGACCACAGTCCAACCATGAGGAGAGCGCACAGAAGCCGTGCATTATCTGAACTGCTGCTCCATCACTGGTCCTGGATCACAGCACACGTGCAATTTCCTCTCGACTCCTCACCAAAATAATGTAATAATAGGTGACACCTCTATAGTACTTACTGCAGGCTGACACACACTTCACACCTACTGACCCTTTTGATCATCCCTGCAACCGTATAAGGCAGTGCTATTATCCCCTTTTTGCAGATGGGGAAACCAAGGCACAGGGATGAATCACCTGCTCAAGGCCACAAAAACAAGAAGTGGAAAAGCTGGAATTCCAACTGCCTGGCTGCAGAGCCCGAGCTCTTAACTACCCCTGTTTGCGGCCTCTCGCAACCATACATAGAAATCTGTAATTAAAAGACATCCTGAGGGTGAAGAGAGAAAATTATAGAGAATGAGGTGTAATTTAGATTGAAATGATCACAGAGGACCTCTCCAGGAAATGACATTAGAAGTGAAATGTGAATGTGGACAAGTAGGTTGAGACAGAAAAACAGGAGGAAAGAAGAGTAGCATTCCCAGAAGAGAGGACAGCACGTGACAATCCAGAGGCAGAAAACAACTTGGGACATGCACAGACTGAGCCAGTGTGGCTGGATCACGGTGGAGGAGAAGGGCACAAGGGGACAACTGGAGGCCCTGGCAGGGAGGAGTCTGGGATCTCCCGGGCTGACCACACCTCTCCGCGATTCAGTTGCCTCCTTCGTGAGACACCCTCACCACAGCACGTGCTCTCTTGGGCCCACTGTGAGGATTACATGGCCGGATGCAGGTGAACAGCTGAGGCCAAGTACAGCAGGGTGACAGGGACAGAACCAGGGCACCAATTGGGGAAGGCTGAAGGTGGCTGGCCCAGAATGGAAGGAGTAGACATGGAGAGAAGTAGATGGGCTGGCTCAGTGTGACAGAAAGGGGTGAGGCAGAAGAGCACCAAGCACACATGTGACCTGGGCCGGGGGGCTGGCTGAGGTTTTTCCTGTGGCCAGGAACACCAAGACTTTGTCAACAGGCCCTCTCTGCTTGGACAGTTGTAGGGAAATGCTCCCTGCCCCCAGGACAGAAGGTAGGGGTATGTCTTCCTATAGAAGAGGGCTTTTCCTGTTTCCTACATTCATGTGAGCCCAAGAACTCTCTGATCCTCCAAACCCAAACAACACTGAGGGCAGAGGAAAATGGGAGGGACTTCCTCATGAGGGATCAGGAAAGATATGAGGGACAGGGCCAGGAGAGCAAGTGAACAGCCTTGCATGCCAGTCCTTGTGCTAGGTGTGGCTTGGGGCCAGAAATAATTTCACTCAGGTCTTCTCCTGGGAGTTCCTAGTAGGAGCCCTCCTAGTAGGGAGCCCTCCTAGTAGGAGGGCTGGGGGCAAAGAGGGCCTGTGCTCCCCTGGTACATAGTGGAGGGAGGCAGCCAGCTCCAATGGAAAGGCCCCCGCCCTCCACTGCCACACAGGGCCAGGACCACCCTCCTCTGGACAACAGTAGGACCACTCCTCTCCTCCAGTCTCTTTCCCAAGACAGAGCCAGAGTCTAGGTGCCAAATGTAAAGTTCTTGAATCTTTACTGAATTAATGGATCAAGATAATGAGGAGAAGCTGCCACCAATGTCAGAGAAAGGTTAAGCTCACCTGAGAAGTGAGCTTGAATAAATGAACCAACAAGCCTCTGATCAAGCCTCTCGAGCCCTAACTACCAATTTTTAGGAGATACGTATAGATAACAGAGGAACACATGCAATCAACCCTCCCACAGGATGCAACTGGCAAAATCCCGTCTTTGGAAAAGGCTATGGGACAACTACTTTCAACAAACACAATGCAAGGAACAAAGAGAGAAAAGAGTGGTGGGGGAATACAATATATTAGGAGAGATTCAGGAGAACCAATACTCATGAGACAACTGGAAATGTGAGTGCTAATTATATATTTGATTATAAAACATTATTGTTAACTTTTAAAAAGAATTCTGGGAGAGAACCAAGATGGCGGCATAGGTAAACACCTATACTTGCTGCCTCTCACAACCACATCAAAATTACAACTAAAAGACAGAACAACTATCATCCAGAACTGCGGGAAAGCTGGCTGAGTGGAAGTACTACAACTAGAGAGGTAAAGAAGAAAGCGCATTGAGACTGGTAGGAGGTGCGGAGGCACAGAATAGGCTGGCACCTGGGTACGCTGCTTTTTTAATCGGGAGGGAGATACAAGCTCCTGCTTGCTCTGAACTCCAGTGCCAGGTGAGACTCTGGGGGACCCAGACACATATCGGGAGAAACTGGACTGTCTGGCATCTGGGCAGGAACACGGGGGTGGCTTTCTTCCAGACAGAGGTGCTCGCAACAGTCATAGTTCCTTTGCCAGACCTCCCTGATGCAGGGCTGACTGGCAGCCATTGCTGTTTGCTCCACCCTGGAGAGTCCCTGAGAACCCACCCTACCTAATTTACAACCCCACACAAGCTACGCACAGTGGCTTTTGCAGATGAATGGCCTGTCCTTTCTCAGCCTAAAACCTGTCAAACAAGCTGCAGCTGGGTCAGGGAGCCCCAAAGCTATCAAAAGAAGGCCCAAGCATGAGAGGTTTCTTGCAGGAAGGGGACCTCATCAGTGCTGAGGTGCAGGCAGTGTTCTCTGGCGGAGCTGTTTCCCTGCACATGAGGAGCCTGAAATACGGAAAGCTAGGTCAGGGTGTTTTGGTCCAGGTTTCCCCCACCCTGGTGAAGCGGCAGAAGACTCACTTCCATGACTTGCCTTGTGGTGCCTCAGTGATTCTGGGTAACAATGGCTTCATCTGGATCTACCCTACACCTGAGCACAAAGAAGAGGATGCAGGGGGCTTTGTTGCAAACCTGGAGCCTATCTCCCTTACCGATCGAGAGGTGATCTCCCGGCTTCGGAACTGTATTGTCTCGCTGGTAACTCAGAGGATGATGCTGTATGATACCAGCATCCTGTATTGCTATGAGGCATCCCTTCCACATCAGATTAAAGACATCTTAAAGCCAGAAATAATGGAAGAAATTGTGATGGAAACGTGTCAGAGACTTTTAGAACAGGAGGGCTAGGCAGAAGTGTCTGAAGGACAGGACTGTGCCTGACAGAGCAGCTCTTGAAAGTGAAGAATCTGAGTTGTAGTTCCGTGTGTGGCTCCGAAACTCATCATGGACCTACACTGGGCTGTCTCCAGCCACAGACCTGCTTTCTTCTGTTCGAAGGCGAAACCTGGGAGAGGTGAACTGCGCTGCTGGCCCCTTGGGCTGCCTGCACATCCCAGCACTTGGCTGGTTTTGTGTCTTTAAAAGTACGCAGTGTTCCAAGTGAACTCCCATCTGGAATAATACGAAGAATCTTTCCTTTTCTACTTAACCATCACTTCACAAAGTACAACACCTCAAGAAGTTGCCTTTATAACTTGGCTGTATGGCTCAGTGGTTGAGCATCGACCCATGAAACAAGAGGTCCCTGGTTTGATTCCTGGTCAGGGCACATGTCCAGGTTGCAGATTTGATCCTCAGTAGAGGGCATACAGGAGGCAGCTGATCGATGTCTCCCTCGCTCATCAATGTTTCTGTCTCTCCCTCTCTCTAAAATCAATAAAGCAGCAACAACAACAAAAAAAAAAAAAAAAGAAGAAGAAGAAAGCCCAAGGCTGGCACCAGCACCAGCCTGCCTTACTTCACACCTGGGCCTCATCTGGGCACTTCCAAACCCCAAACAAAGAGGAGGAATCTGCAGATCTCTCTGTAGCTCCTGCTAGGTGGCCCCAGGCAGTGGCTGACTTTGCACCTCCTTGGAGATCCAAGAGCCAGTGTACCCAGTGGTCAGTGTGAGACCATACCAGCTTACAACTCTTCACATCCATGGGCAACACACTCCAAGGGGCAGACTCAGTGAGCACCTAAGCCCCACTGAACCAAGTCCTGCCCCATATGGGTTTCTCCTGCACAGCAGCTTTTCCATTGTAGACAAAGCTGGTCCTCACAGCAAATTGGCCTGGAGGTCAATTCCTCCCAGTGACACCAACAGCAATCAAAGCTCAACTACAACAAGATTGCACACAGCCCACAAAGGGGTGCACCAAGAGTGTCCACCTCAGGTAATGGGGGAGACTGAGCCACTGGGCCCTATAGGACACCTATTACACAAGGCCACTCTATCAACTCAAGGAGACTTAGCAGCTACCCAATACACAGAAACATACACAAAATGCAGAGACAAAGAAACATGTCACAGATGAAAGAAATGGAAGAAAGCAAACTACTGGATAAAGAGTTCAAAACTACAGTTATAAGGTTATTCAAGAATCTTCTAAAAACCTCCAAGGAACTTAGTGAGACCTTCAAGGATCTTAGTGAGAATGCAAAAAAAAATGGAAAAGGACCAGTCAGAAATTAAGCATACACTAACTGAAATAAAGAATAATATACAGAGATTCAACAGTAGACTAGAGGATCCCAAGAATCAAATCAAAGATTTAAAATACAAGGAAGCAAAAAACACCCAACCGAAAGAGCAAAAAGAATCCAAAAATATGAACATAGTGTAAGGAGCCTCTGGGACAACTTCAAGTGTACCAACGTCCAAATTATGGGTGTGCCAGAAGAAGAGAGAGCGAGCAAGATATTGAAAACCTATTTGAGAAATAATGACAGAAAACTTACCCTACCTGGTAAAAGAAGTAGACTTACAAGTCCAGGAAGCGCAGAGAACCCCAAACAAGAGGAATCTAGAGAGGACCACACCAAGACACATCATAATTAAAATGCCAAGGGCAAAAGAAAAAGAGAGAATCTTAAAAGCAGCAAGAGAAAAACAGTTAGTTACCTACAAGGGAGTACCCATATGACTGTCAGCTGATTTCTCAACAGAAAGTATGCAGGCCAGAAGGGAGTGGCAAGAAATAGTCAAAGTGATGAATAGCAAGAACCTACAACCAAGATTACTCTACCCAGCAAAGCTCTAATTTAGAATTGAAGGTCAGATAAAGAGCTTCACAGACAAGAAAAAGCTAAAGGAGTTCATCACCACCAAACCAGTATTATATGAAATGCTGAAGGGTATTCTTTAAGAAGAGGAAGAAGAATAAGGTAAAGATAAAAAATTATGAACAACAAAGTGACAACAAATATTTATCAACAAGTGAACCTAAAAATCAAATGAATAAAAAATCTGATGAACAGAATAAACTGATGAATGTAATAGAATCAAGGGCATGGAAATGGAGTGGACTGACAATTCTTGGGGTGAAGGGAGTGTGGGGTGGATATGGGAAGAGATTGGACAAAGATGGACATGGACAGTGGGATGGTGAGGGCCTGGGGTGCAGTGAGAACCGGGTGGAGGGGAACTATGGGGAGGGGGGGGCGGAAGAGGAACATCTGTAATCATCTGAATAAAGATTAAAATAAAAAAAGAATTTGGACCTTTTAGAGATACACAGGGGAAAATCTACAGATGAAATAGCAGGACACCTGGAACTAACTCCCAAACAATATGGCTGATGAAATGAGATCAGCCACAAGTTGACAACTGCTGAAACTGGGTGATAAAAGATGGGATTCATTACACTTGTCTGCTTCTCTATCTCCTCCACAGAAAGCCGTGAAGGAGCACTAGCCGCAGTTGGGCTCAATAGCTAGAGCTTCGGCCCACGACTGAAGGGTCCCAGGTTCAATTCCAGTCAAGGGCATGTACCTCAGGTGCAGGTTACCAATCAATGTGTCTCTCACAACAATGTTTCTCTCTCTCTGACTCTCCCCTCCCTTCCAGCTCTCTAAAAATCAATGGAAAAATGTCCTCAGGTGAGAATTAACAAACAACAACCAAAAAAGGACTGAATGAAAAGCAAAGTACAGCCTATCATTCAAATCCTCTAATTGCTTTCTACCATTTAAAAAACTGCAAAACCATGGCCCATGGCTCACAGGCTCTGCCCTCACCTCCTAGCAGCCTTTCCTCGCTCCCTCCACTCCAGCCTTGTCAGATTCCCTGCCACCCTTTCACCAATACTGGCGTACTCCCTCTTGGGCCTGGGGTCCTGCTGAAACCCATCTGGAACATTCTACCCCAACCATCCACATGTTCTTCTGAGAGGCCTTCCTAGACCACCCTATCTAGAAAATATGTCTAGAACTGTGTTTTCCATCACTCTACCCCCTTGCCCTGCTTTGTTTCTCTTCTCACCTGACATCTGACATCTGTCTCTTGGCTTTCTCCTCCTACCAGAACTCAAGCTACTAGAAGGCAAGAGCCTCCTGTCCCTGCTGCGCCTAGCATGAGTGTTCTATAAATACATATGGAATTATCAAATGAAAAACCCCAAGTTTCGGCCCAGCCTCACTACTGCCACTCTGCACAATGGGGGCCATGACCCCTATACCTCAACACTGTCCAGAAAATTCAGTCAGGTGGATAGCATGCCCAGCTAAGTGCCCAGTGACCGCCCTGAGAGGGATATGAAAACTCAAGAGGTCCTGTGTCTAAGCCCTCACCCAACCCCCATGTGCTCTCTCCCTTACACTCTATGGCCCTTGTGAGTTTAGTCTGGTTCTACCCCTCAGTGGAGGGAAGCTAACTGGGGGCCAACCCCCACAAGCTGTCACAAGTGAGAAGGGGGCAAGAACAGCAGGATCCTTCCGCACTCAGGTCTGGAGGGGCCTCCTTTTACCCTAGGGACTGGGCCTCATTAAAGGTAAGCCACTGCTGCTTTCAGCAGGGCCCTACTAGGGAGCACCTCAATCAGCCCCACCCTGCCTGATGAGTCAGCAGTCAGACCTGTTTACCCATCCCCCCTATCATTGCCAGCCACACCCCATGAACCACCTCCCTGCCCTCAAGAAAGAGACCTGATGCCTCTACTGGCAAAACCCCTCCCAGGCTCAGCTTGGCTTGCTCCCTAGGCAGGAGTGACTCCCTGGGCAGCCCAGCCAGCCTGGTGGCTCTGGTAATTAGCCCTGACTGGGGGGAGAGTCACAACCTGGCAGCCACCCTTCAAGCTGGTGTCTGAGGACACAGGCTAGCTCTGTGTCCTGCCCAGCACAGGTATCTGCACTCTCATCTATGGGGGAGAGAAGGGGGCGGGCACTGGGAAGTGGCAGGCATGGCTGCTCTGTGGGCTGGAGGAGGTGCTGCAGCATGGTCAGAGGAAGCATCCTAGGCTGAGGTGTTCTGGGGAATGCAGAGCTGCTTCAACCTCAAACCTTCCCACCTATAATTCTGCCACCCTCCCACCCCTGCCTGAGCATCTTACCACCTGATCCTGTGCCCACAGGCTTGCCCAACTCAGAGATGTGAGTGGGGAGGGGGAGTGAGAGAGTGCCCACCAAGGCCTGTGTCCTTCCTTCAAGACAGGTGGATTTTCTCCAGGGTAAGGTTTGAGCACGAGTCTCCAGAGCAGAGTCCTCCCAACACATCTAACCCAACCTGTCTGCAGGTTCAGTCAGCTCTACATTTATTTCCTAACTAGAGGCCCAGTGCACAAAATTTGTGCACATGTAGCATCCCTAGCGGCTGCCTGCTGCTGGCCGGAGGCCTCCCTCCTGTGGTTGGCTGGCCGGCCCAACCCCCTGGTCAAACTCCTGGTCAAGGGGATGATTTGCATATTAGGCTTTTATTATATACAATTAGTCCATCCCCTTCTCACCCTCTCCAATGTGACCAACACAGATCAGACCTCTCCTTCTTGCTGGACTGGGCAGCCTTGTCACTCATTTCCCTGCTCCCACTTTTATTTAACAAACACCTAACAGGACATGTACCATGTGCCTGGAGTTGTTCTAAGTACTTTACAAATCCTAACGCATTTATTAACTGTTTTTCCAGATGGAGTCAGCATTCCTTTCAAAACAGGTATCAGATTACCTCACCCCCTGCTCAAATCCCTTGATAGCACTTGCTACAAGGAATAAAAGCCAAACTCCCACTGACTTGGAGGCCTGTGGGCTGCTCCACCCCATCCCCACCCCCTCTTTGAGGGGCTTATTGTCTAAAGTGAACTTCAGTTTCACTGGTCTGTCACTCTACTAAAAAGGTCACCTCCACTAAGGCAGGGACCTCCCTGCTCTTCCTGCCCCAAGCACATGCCACAGTGACAGTGAGAAAAAGAGTACATAGCAAGGGCCCAGGACAGATGCTGTTCCAAGTATATTACAAGTGT